TTTATCACCAGTTCAAAAAGAACGTTCACATCTACCACTGACTACGCAGAAAGGCCATCAACAGATGATGCTTAAGAGCCAAAAATTCTAAGTCTGTTACATTAGGGCTGTTCTACAGCCTGCATCACCTAAAATATCATCTGCATATGCTGTGTGAAATTGCACATCTCTGGACAGTTTTCAGCCAACTGCTCCTCATCTTTGATGAAAACTGGTGTTATTCAGTAGCAGACAAAAATAAAACCCATTACATTTGTTTCAGAAAGCGTCACTGAAAAGCTGCAGATAGGTCATCTCTTCCAGGAGCAGCTACTGCCCAGTTACTCATCACCACCCAGCGAAGAGAGGTTACCACCCATACAGACCTGCAGCACAGTGAATCGTGTAAGAGCACACTAATACTCTGCAGAAAAAATTAATCAAGGTAATTGACCGGTGAAGGCAGACTGGGTTAATACGATGCATTTAACTGCTGATTATGCCTGAAGCATGTAACACTGCATACAAATTCTTTTGTGGAAAGGATCATTAAGCATGGTAATAACCTATGGCAGAGGAACAGAAACAAAAGGCAGATGGCAGAGTATCTACAATTTTCACAGCTGTTTGGGGACAGGAGGAATAAAAATCAATGCCTGTCCATATCCTGAAACATTAAGTACTTCTGTGATAGCCTGAAAGCCTTAAGATAGATTTTGAAAACCACTAACCATTAAATAGTTACTTAAGAAGTCACGCACTGCCTCCTAGGAAACTGTCTAAAGTTATATGTCTTAGGTCAGCCTCATAATTTTCATAGGTTTATTCATCTGGGGTTTTTAATCTACTTATTACTGCAAAATACCTTTCAGTTTTCCTATTTTAGTCTTTAAAAACAGAATACATATGCTGAAAAAATTCCCCATTTCAAGAACTGGACGAACAGCAGTTACAAACAGGCGCGTTTGTCCCATTAAGGGCCACTAAATTAAACAACAAGTACCAAATAAAAATGCTAAAAAATAATTAGTTACTATACAAAAGGCCATATTCTTCACCCAAAATTCCTTCAAAGTACATGATGAAATCAGAGACACACTGCCATGGATTAAGGGGTCTTAGATGTAAAATACGCCCACGAACCATAACTGAACAATATCTTCAAACCCTCCATGCTGTACAAGCTTAACCTCAGTGAAGGAGGACAGCACTGAATATACTTTAAACTGCCATAATGTGTCACTGTCACCAAAAGAAACAGACACACCCTGCTCCCCTTACTGCTTGCTTCCACCCCCATCTTTGCGCCAGCACAAATGTTTGTGCAGCAAACTGATCCAGCTTAAACCTAACCCTCCCCTCTCTACCCCTCCCCCAAGTTCGTTCAAACCTCAACCCAGTTCACCACATAACCATACAAGTATTTGCCTGCACAAAGAAGGAAGCAGCAGAGCGAGGTGGAAACAAACAGGACCATGTTTTTCAATGGTGGAGCTGGTCTATACCAGCAGATCACCTATGCAGTGGTAGGTTGCAGGCTGGAGCGCCCTAGTATCAGTCTCACACTTCAGGCCTATGCAGTGTCACTCTTCCCTCCCTCTCTGGTATCCCACCTCTGCTCACACAGCCCCTGACAGGTATTCAACCGAACGGTCATTCAGGTCAGGGTGCTGAGTCAATCAAAAACTGACTCTACCGAATTGAGAAGTGTTGCTAGCTTTCAGCTAGCTCAGCTTCCTCAACCAGCTTCCAGTGGAACCCTTACCGGCACAAGGAAGGAAGAGGGGAAGAAGGCTAGTAAAGCATAAGATCCAGTTTTAATCAGCTTGTGACGCTGTGGTAACACACTTGTACACAGCCACGTTTTACACTTAAACTTGTCAAAGGAGCTGACATGGTTAATTTAATTAATTTGTTCCTAAGATTAAATCTTGTGCCATTCTTTTTCCCAGAAACCTAAGCAGCCATAGTGTACTTGGGCACGAGCAGCAGGAAGTGAGGTCAATTCACTACATTAAACCAGTTTTGCTCTTCGTGCTTAATAAAATGAAGATAGAGCATTAGTTACTCTAACTTAATATACTTTCACCAGATATTATTTTAAATATTACTGATTAAATCACCTCAGATATTTGCATTGAAGAACACAGACATAATTAAACCACTGCAGTCATGTTAAGTATTATCTTAACTGTAGTTTAGTATTTACATGGAATTTAAACAATGGTTCCGGTGATTCAAGTGGTCTTACGAACCTTTTTGCTGAGGAGTGAATTTCATTCACTATTCAAAAAGTTGTTTTGCTTAAACTACAAGATGCAATGGTTGCAGAAGTGAACAAAATTAATTTCTATGTGTTCAGAATCAGACCTCTAATAAACATGGATACAGCTACTTTCAAGCTAATTTTTTAACAGTAAAGTATCGTAAGTAGGAGTACAGATAGACTGTTAGTAATCATCTTGCTAACATCCAGACAATAGAAATTCATTACTAGAGCATTAGATTTGGCAGGGAATTATTTCCTAAGCAAATACATATATTTATGTTGAATCAGTTAAGTAAAAGAAACACTCTTATCAATTCAAAAGACAAAACATACCAACATCACAGTTCAAGAACTGTAGAACTGACAGGCAGAATCAGATTCATGTATCCGGTCTTCCCAAGTCCCTTGTATATTTTTCCAGTTTATGAAACTCTCTCTTTCTTACAAATATAGATTCTTCCACAAACTACCATCTGCCCATTGCAACAGTAAGACAACCTTTCCTCTCTTTAACAGAGATTTTTTGTATCATGAGAAAGTGTTCCAAACTACTGTGCATGTAAGAATTACGCAGAAATAAGAAGTTTATTTTTACTACAACTCACCACCAGCACTTAAGACAAAGACACTGAACTGGAAAGTGAGCAAAAGCCGGGAAAGCCATTTAACCAGATTAACATGTGACTGCTAGCACTTTGTTCCAACAAATGTTTTCAAAGCATTCTTGACACAGAAGCAAATAAATTCAGGGAATCTCAGTCAACAAATAACGTTCTTAATCACTTTCCATTTGGGATGGAGTTAACAGGGTTTGGACTTGAACTGTTGGTTTATACTGATACAGGTTTCTTTTTAAGCAGGCATAGACAGGTGTGCTTTTCAAATGCACTTACTAACTGCAGAAGACACACAATGAACTTCACTGGCAGTTCTGCTGACTTTAACTAGAAAACAGGATGCTTATTGGATCTGGAGCCATGTATCTTAATACCAAATCACTTTTAGCACAGCAATAAATTTTAAGAAAATTAGGTTTTCAGTCCCCTAATATTGTAGAGCTAGCAGAGCAGATTTAATGGTAAATTCATAATACAGAATTACTACTAACATTAATGCCATTAAAGAGATACTTATTCAGAAAACTTTTTTGCTCATTAACACTAAACGTAACTTTGTCACGAGCACTTTAAATAGGAAAAAAATATCAAAGGCTATTCAAAAAAGACACAAATAAAATATTGTTAAAAATATTATTAATATCAAATGACAGTTCAACGCAGACTAAAATCAACCCTGATTTCTATAGTATGTATGCACTTCAGTAACAGGATTATTTTCAACTCACAGTCCAACATTCCAAGCGATTTCTGGTCATGATTATTACCTCTAGCACCTAGCACATTAACAGTGAACAAGACGCAGTGACCAGGGACATGAGGAAACATGCTTTCATTTTCCACATGAAAATTTAAAAAAAAAAAAAAAAAGGCACAAAAAGACCCAAAACCTAAACTGCAAGATCAGGTGAAGAACCGAGGCAAATGAATACAGAGACACCTTTTGACCTTTGCAACACTTCAGACCTGCCCTCACTACATTCACACGTAGGGTTATGTCAGAGGAAGAAGAGTTTAAAATAGGAACAAGTAAGCTAGGTATCACTTTCATTGATACAGCCAGCATCACTTCGGAAAGGCCGGAAGCCGCCCTTCCCCTCGGAGGAGGCTCCGTCTGTTGACCCTAACTAACCCACTGACCCGACAGAGCTCCCAATTAGTCTCAGGGCTCGCACCTCGAAAGCCCCAGGACTTGATCGGCGACGTGGAACAGAACATGCGCTTGTCTTGAGAGGCATGTGATGGAAGCAGCTGAGCCAGAGGAAGGTGCAAGCGCTTGACAGGTCACCCAAGATGAGGCTGAACTCGCAGACCCGCCAAGCGCCCGGGCGGTCAGGCAGCCAGGCTCCGCACCCCCCGCCCCAGCCCTGCCCCAGCGAGCCAACCGCCAGCACGACTCGAACGTCTTTTGTTTTTAAACTCACACTCCGCTCACCCACCCCCGCTCGCTCGCTCCCTCCCGCCCCAGAACAAGGCGCTGATCCTCCGCCGCCTTCCCCGCCAACAAGCTTCCCCTGACCGCAGCCCCCCACACGCCCGTGCCCTGACGGTCCCCACCCTGAGGGTCCCAGCCCCGCCACCCCCCACAGCGAGCGCCCACAGTCCGGACCTACACCGCGACCGGGGAAGGAGCAGGTCCCCCCGCAGGGCATGTCTCAGCGCGGCTCTCACGGGAGGAGGCGAGACACGGGGCTGCTCCCACCCACGGCAAGCCGGGCTCCGGCCCGGCCCCGGGAGACCCCACTGCCGCCCCCTCCCAGCGGAGCCGGCTTGGCACCCCCGCAAGAGGTATCCAGGCAGAGAGAGGGAAGGAGCAGCACCCACCTCCGCCATGAGCCCCGCGCTGGCCGCCGAGCCGGCCGGGCCGCCTATGACGGGCAAGACGGCGGCCCCGCAGGTAACGGCTGCGCGTCCCGACAGCAACGGCAACAGGGCCTCGCTCTGAGCCGAACTGTGCCCGCCACAACTTCCGGGGCACGGCGCGAGCGCCTTCCGGGGGCAGCGGCCCGGGGGCGGGGGCAGCCGGCAAGCGGGCGGGGCGCAGCGCGGCGCGGCAGCCGTTAAGAGAGGCGGGGGGGGGTAGCGGCCATGTCACCCGCATCGGCCACGGCCCCAGGGGGCGCGGTAGGCGGCAGGGGCTGTGCCCGGGTAAGCGGCACTCGGTGGAAAGCGCGCCTCAGAGCGGTGCAGGGGTGAGCCGGGAGGGAGGTGGCCACGGAGCGGGTCTTATTGGCTTCTCAGGTAAAAATAAATAGAGAATTAAAGGTGTAACTGCGCGCACAGCTCTGGACAGAATTGGGTCAGTTGGTTTGGTTTGAATTTCTGGCGAGACAGCGCTGTCAGTTGCGCTGTACACGATGCAACGGTGTTTGCGGCACTTGATACGGTAACTCGTCGACAGCCGTTGAAGTTGTTCTGTTTTCATGAAGCGCACTAGATGCAACTGAAAGCAGAGTGGACAGTGTATCAGTTAAAACCAAAGATACAACAGGAAGAAATTGGGTAAGAAGAATAATGAGAGGAAGGTGCATCACCTGTGTGTTGTGCAGCTTTGTGGAAGCACTGAACGTTCCTGTTAGCCAGCTCAAAAAAGCACCGCACATTTGTTTTTATGTGACTACCCACGTGTCATCTCGTATGTCACCTGTTGACAGACCAATACATGTAACAGGTCCTGGGCCAGAAGACCTTGTAATCTACAATTAATCTTGAATGTGTAATTACTGTCCCAGTACACACACAAACCAAAAACATTGCTTGTGGTTAGAGCAGCCAGCAGCCTGCACAAAGCTCTCATCAGCTTTGTTTCAGACCATGCTGCATATGTTTCCCTTTTGCTGACTGGCTTCTTTGGCCTTGCTCTAACTTCTGACCTCTCCACCAAATAATACCAAGTGCCCAGTTACTTCACAGAACTGATCTATGTATCTTACTTTCACAGAGGTTGTACAACTCATGTTTTGACTGTGTTTCAGTTATTTAAAGTCTTTAACAGAGAGAAAGAAGAATCTTGCTCTGACAGTTGCTGACCCTTCCCTTCCATTGACAGTTACTGCTTCATGGCAGAAGCGGCAGAAGCACATGGATGACAGTACTCCAGTACTCCAACGTTAATTTAATCTGTAGGTTGCATGAGAGCTGGAGAAGCTGAAGTCCATGCAGAGATTTTCTTCAGATGTACATGCTAGAAAGGTGATAATATCTAGAAGGAAAAGAGGAGAAAGCACACAACTGTGGTTTAACATTTGTACCATTGCAGCTCTTGGCTTCTCTGTGTGTGAGTCAGTGCTTAGAGAGCTAGATGGGTAAAACAGAGCAAATGGGATTTTCCTATAGCTGAGTCACGTAATAAGTGAAGACACGTAGCAAACCCTGTCATCTAACATACTGTATATGCTCATGTCCCATAAGTGTAACATATCAGTGGGTTGCAAAGCAATGACCTGCTCTTAAGACATCTGCAGGATTCTTTGTGACCTTCAGGTTGTCTGTTATGCAGACTTGCCTTGAAGTTTGCTTGGCTTCAGTTGTTGATCTGTGAGTCCACATCCAGCTAAGTATTTTGTACCTTGCAATTTTTCTACAGCTGCCTCAGCAGCGTCTGGATGAGCAAGGAACAAAGTCTACAAATGTCTATTCTGATGGGTCATTTATTTCTTTTTATACTCCCTCTAGCTCTCACTATGGCTTCACCAGCTCATGTGAATGGCAGGGTTTATATGTCAGGATTTGTATTAAATTTGGATAGCATAGTGCCTCTTCAACAGTCAAGTTCACTGTCTTCATCAAAGGTAAAGTGCTGGTTTTGTTCACCTGCCAAATTGGTTGTCTTTACCATTTACCTGTTTTCTTACCCAGGTCACTCAGATTTACTGACAGACCAATTTTGGATTTAGATGCTTCAGGAACTTTGCTGTTCTCTGTGGCTCTTTCTCCAGGTGGTTTTCTGTCTTCTTAAGACCTTACCACATCTCATTCGTGCTGAGAATTTCTGACTGGTCACATAGAATCATAGAACAGTGTTGGAAATCACCTTAATATCACCAAGTTCCACCCCCCTAACCCTAACCCTCACACTAAACCATGTCACCCAAGGCTCTGTCCAACCCGGCCTTGAACACTGCCAGGGATGGAGCATTCACAACTTCCCTGGGCAACCCATTCCAGCGCCTCACCACCCTTACAGTCAAGAACTACCTCCTTATATCCAATCTAAACTTCCCCTGTTTAAGTTTTAACCCATTACCCCTTGTCCTATCACTACAGTCCCTAATGAAGAGTCCCTCCCCAGCATCCTTATAGGACCCTTTCAGATACTGGAAGGCTGCTATGAGGTCTCCACACAGTTCCTTCTCTTTTTCACTTCATAGATGTTTTGGATCCAAGACATACTGGTTCCTGGTCATATCTACTATTGTTTTTGTCATCCCAAAATGGGATTACTGCAGCTCGTCCAGATGCTGCATCGATTACTAGTCTTTCAAAGATTGCATATGTTTGCAAACTTCTGCACATTATGAACTTAGATTGCTTTAAGTCCTTTGATGGCATCTTCAGCTCTGTTAGATTTTCCTAAACATTCTTCAGATCAACTTTGAAGTCAGAGACCTCCTCTGTTGTTTCACTATAGCTCATACTCTTTCTTTTTAAAAATTAAAATTGCTGCTGACACCTTTAAAGCTTTTCTATAGTGGTTAGCCCGTAGCTAACATTTGTACAATCATTATTTTAGTAGCTAAATGTTTCAATTTGTTTGCCTGGGCATTTCTTATGTGGTCTTATGCAGTGGCTACTGGGTATGCTAAATGCATGGCTTTTCTGAGGCATCAAAAGTAACCATACATTTCATTGTTCTCTGATTCATAACTGGTGGGTAAACCATTTCATGGTTAAACGTTCATCTTAAAGGTATTAAATTTTAGCACTATTTAGAATTAACTACTTTATTAATAATGAAACTTTTACCCCAAGTGAAAGTTTTCAGTTTAACCCATCCTTTTGATTTAAAAATTAGCAGGTCATATAAATACTTTGTAAGGAGTCATTGAAAAGGAAATAGAATTGAGCTGTGTCAGATATCCTGTGGCTTGTATTTCCAGAAGTTCCCATTTCATTGTAAAACATATTTCAGTGTCAGTTCACAGACCCCTTGTGTTCCAGCTCCAGAATTCTTACCAGGCAGTACCAACATTTTGTGGTGAGCTTTATCATGAAGTTTGGGCTCAGCAGGTCAAGTGCTTTTGCCTGTAACCTACACCGATTTAGGCAGCGTTCAATTCTGGAAAGAAGAGAGCAGTCCAGTACCATACAATATTTTAACAGCAGATTCGTCTGGTTAATAAAGTGCTCCCTTATTTATCTTGTATTCTTTCTTTTTAATGCCTGGGCCTGACAAAAAGGGGACTCTTTGGGAATAGACTGCCAAATTCTGCACTGTATTTCTGCAGTTCCATGTGTTGCTTAGAGATTTGTGGCAACAAACTTCTCAAAGGTATGAAGTGAAGGAGTTACATTTCTTCTTCCCCCGAACTTTGGAATTTATCCCATTTCATGTGTAGTTTGTCTTCTCATCAGGGAAGTATTTTCTGATCAGTATGAGGTGTGTATTCCCCAGCATGAAGCCTGGATGTATTTTCAGAGATGGATACTGATTAAGATCCTTCATGTTTCAACTATAAATTCTATTCTTGAAGTAAACATAGGAGAGTAAACAGTTTCTGTTAAAAACAAAACCATAGCAACAGCCTCATGACAAATCACAGAACTTTGCAGTCACATTGTCTTGTAATAAAGAAGGCCTTTGATATGCTATAGGCACCACCTAACCCAGCTATAGGTGTCAGTAACACTGTCTCACAGCGTGTATGACTCAGCATCGAAAGCATGTTTCTGGTTGAAATGTGGTACAGAAGCTCACCCTCTTTCTCTGCTGTAAGTGGCTACCTAGAGTGTAATTTTATTCTGATACCCTCCCCCCCTGCCTTTCCAAAATCCTTTTGACACTATAACAAAACCTTTAAAAAAAACAACAAACCCAGAAGATTGAGCCAATAATTTAAACCAGTAGTTCAATACTTAGAGTACTGTCATTGTTAGTTAGGTCGTCATCATTTCAGTTAAAAGTGGGAAATATATGTTCAATAGCAAATGGAGGTGTTTTGCTGCTGGACATTGTAATTCACATAGTGAAACTTTCCCTGAAATGATTGCTGAAATATGACAGACCTTATCCTCTTGTTCCTGTGGTATTCAGGGAAAAATGGAGCAGACCTGGTCATCCAGGAATTCCTCAGGTGGCTGTTCATATTGTAATTTGGTTTCCCTCAGTTGTACAAATTGTTTTGTTCATGTACAAATATACCACTGATGTGGTTAAAGCATCCATGAGCTCTAAGTACTGACCTGTGAAGGGCAGATACTTGTCTCTGTGGCAGTTGGTCAGCAGACTTTTAAAGATAATACAATAAGCTGCCAAAACCAGAATTTTAAACTTAGGTGTTTTCTCTGACCTCATTTTAAGCTTGCTGTCTGAGATACTATGTATTCTTGAGATACTAGGTGCTTGGTCCTTACCATGTGAATATTGAAAGCCTGGAAAACATCACTGCAAGTGAAGCTGCCTTTTGAGTCTCCCATGTATTCTAATTCACTTCTCCTCACAATTGGATGTTCTCCTTAACCAAATTGGTATGTTTTCATTCCTCTAACAAAGGTTGCCACTTGCAGTTCCTGGAACTTCTTGCTGGCTGTTTCCCAGGAGGAGTGTCCATGTGCTGACTGTGGAACGTACACGTCTGCTTCCAACTAGCCTGTGGTAACCAAGTGGGATGTAAATCTAATTAAATGCAAAAAAAAAAAAAAAAGCTACAGTGTGTTGCAATAACGTTCAAGATCTGACATCAGCTGACAAAAGCAAGGAAATTCCAAGTGAAGATTGCTGCTATGTCCTTACTTCACCCGTTTGTATTTCAGAGTTTTAGGGCCTCAGGACTGCACACACTTGACTGTACAAAACTGTTCAAAGAGCGTTGTCACAATGGCAGACTTCTAAGAATCAGGCAACATGTGCAACTGTAATTTTGACTCGCTTGTGGGCACAAAGTAGGATAGAATTAAGTAGCCTATCATACACTATTTTTCTGTTTCCCCCCTTCCTCATTCAGGACACAGAATAGATGACTCTTACAGGAGAAAGCAGCTGGTTATTTTAAATCTCTGCATGCAGCAAGTGCCCTTTGCCTTATTTATTTATTCATTCAATGAATAAATACTTAGGTATTCTTAGGGCATTTGTCATTGTGCTAGGTGATACTTCGTTAACATTAATGGAATTATTTCTGTGTTTCTTTTACAAGAGAAGAAATATGGTTTCATTATACTTTCAAGGGAGTGTGGATTATGTCTGCAGAGGGTGTCAGTACTGCACTGCTCAGATTTGTGGCAGTTAACACTGAAAAACCTTGCTGGTAGGTGAACTCAGTCACAGCTAGTTCTCTGCTCAGGTTTCCTATATGATCCTTGATGGAAGCAAGTGGAGAAACAAGCTGGCTATACTGTACACTGTGAAAAGCCCATGCCATTTATGTGACTGAAGTTACAGTGACCAGGGATTAGTGGTAAAGAATCTTGTAAGATGCTGGGATGGTGTCAGTTGTGTCCCATGAGCGGGTATTACTGCTCATGCTATTGGAAAATTGGCAGATGGACTATGTGCCTTTGCATCAACCACTGTGGTGCTAATTCAGAAGTATTATGTTAGGTCCATGTCACAAACTTATAACCAGGACACAGGCAAATAGTTCATTTTGCCAACACAACTACATGGGAGGTATTTCAGTGCAGAGGCAAATCAGATGACGAAGTACAGCTGCAAAACTTACAAGTGTGTTTCTCAGCATCATCAACACTGAGTTGGAAGGAGCTGCTTGCTCTGCTTGGAGTTAGTAAACTTTTTAATGTTTAGAAAGAGGTCATGTTTAGACGTAAGGAGGCCCCTTTATACGTAATGCAAATATTTAAGGGATAGGAGATACCATCCTTTCCTTCTTCTATAGTTCAGTGATTAGAAACCCTGAAACTCAGCTTGAGGAGGACCTGGGTTTGGTTTTATCCTCTGTCTGTGAACACAGAATTAACATTTTTTTCCTCCTTCTTAACTCTGTTATCCCAAAGGCACTACCACCTTCACTGAATGGCTCGGCCTTGGCCAGTGGTGGGCCCATCTTGTAGCCGGCTGGCACTGGCTTTGTTGGACATGGGGATGCTTCTATCAGCTTCTCACAGAAGCCACCCTTGTAGACCCCCACTACCAAAACCTTGCCTTGCAAACTCAGTACAAGCAGTCAGAGATGTTTTGGGAACCTCACTGAAATAAGAATTTATGGAATGTAGGCATCTCCATAGTTGGAAAACAACTGGATGAGAATTTTGAAGACAGTCATTTTGGCTTTAATGATCAGAAGTATTCATTTTCAGCATCTGAGTCCTTTTGCTCGTGCAGTCACCAAGAGTTGTCTCAGGTCACAAGAGAAATCACTGACATCTGGGGTGAGGCTTCAGCATACAGACAAATACGTCAGACTATGGAAAAATCAACATGGGTTTTTGTAGATAGAGAAGCCTTGTCATAATTATGAAGTTGTTTGACAAAATCAACAAACTGATAAGCCAGGGTGATGCATTCATTGCCATGATTTCAAAAGAGCTTCTGGCACAGTCCTTCACCAGTGCTGCAAAAGGACATGAGCTGTCAGAGGTTACGAAGAAAGCCTGTCTTGTGTCTTCTGGCTTCCCTAGCTGAAGGATAAGGGTTAACGGGTAGCAATAGTCATTTTTTACACCGCAGGAGAGTTACGATTGGACTCCCACAGGGATTCATGCTGGGACCTGCACTAGTTAGCATTTTCAGAAATTGTGTTGGAAAGAGACTGAGTAAGGAAACAGCACAGTTTGCTGCTGATGCAAAATCCTTTACAGTAGTGGAGTACAAAGCTGACAGCAAGGAGTTTCAAGAGGATTACATTCTGCTGAGCAGCAGCTAGAAGTTGAAATTCAGTCTCAATAGCTGTAAAATAATGCCTACAGGCAAAACCAATCTTAATTGTATGAGCCTAGTGGTAAGTTCTACATATGCTGTTACAGCAAAAGAAGTTCTTAGAGCCTCTATAGGTAATTGTTTGGAAACTTAAATTCTGGTTCCAAGTAAAAAATACCAGGAATTATTAGAAAAGTAAGACAGAATGGAGCAGAAAGCATTGTGACATCCTTGTGTACACCAGTTGTATGGCCACATTTAGACAACAGTATGAAGCTGGTTTTCCAGGTCAGAAAGAAGGTAAAGGTAGCAAAGAATAATAAAACAGAGAGAACAGTTTCTGTTCTACACTTGACTACACCTGGATTTTTCAGTTTGAAAAAAAAACAAAATTAACAATGCTTCAATGATGGAGGCAAGGTATTTGAATTATATAAACTGGTGGCTTGTGGAGAGGAGGTAGGGAACTCTCATGCACTTTTTGTAGAAAGTAATTGACAGCAGGTTAAAACCAACCAAAAAGTAATCTTTTTTTTTTTTCAGATGCTGCAGAACTAAAGTGTGGACCTCCCTGCTTCCAGAAATGTGGAATCTAAAACTGTAATTACTTTAAAAAAGGGACTAAATTCAAAAGAGAGGTGGAGCATTAGCAACTAGTAAATGGAACATAATACAGTGGCCTTTAGTTCAGATTTTCACTAACCAACGCTTTACTGAAAATTCTGTATATGAAAAAGGATTGTGCTATACCTGAGTTGTTCTTTATACTTTCCTCCTGACTGTGTAGTCCTGGTCATTAAGTTGAGAAGCAAGTTAGGCATACCTGTGGAGTCTGATACAGTATGTCTGCTTTGCAACTAGTACAGGAGAGAAACACCAAGATGGTCAGGGGACTGGAAAAAATGGTATATTATAGAAGATTGAGAGAACTGATATTGTTCAGCCTTAAGGGGGCGGCTAAGGAAAGATCTTACTGCTGTTGTGTGCATGGAAGGACAAGTCAGATTCTTGTCAGAGTTGCACAGTGGTAGGCCAAAAGGGAATGGACACATGTTGAAACATGGGAAATCTTGCTTAGATGCAGAGAGATGTATTTATTTATTTATGTATATATTTATTTATTTATTTATATAATGAAGGTGGTAAAATATTGGAAAAAGTTGCCCAGGAAGGTTGTGTGACTTTCCTGGTACATACTCAGAGCTTGACTAGATGTGGTCCTGAGCAATCTTTTCTAACTGGCCCTGCTTTGAGCAGTAGGTGGTCCCAGGTGGCCTCCCAAGGCCCATTGCAACCTACTTAGTTCCGTCCTCTTAAGATAGGTTCTTACTATTTGTTTGCGCCCTAACTATACATTATTTCATATGGTATAGTTTTTCATAGAAGTGGAATATAGTGGGTTTGGTTTAATAAATATATACTAAAGTTCAGTGCAAGAACATACGGGGACAAGACATTTTATATTTGCCATAAAGAAAATCCAAGAGTCAGCAAAGGTACTTTCTAAGTGGCTTGACAGTAGTCATAGAAATGCTTTGTAAAAACACATCAAGAAGAGGACTTGTTTGTCAGGGTGCAGCTGTAGCACAGGTCAGTAAAGGTACTGTTATCCATGCTTACAGTGTTTGTGTTTTACTTCTAATGTCTCCTTTAAACAAATGATATATAATTAGTTTGGCAGACACTGATGGGGAAGAGTATACCTAGCATAGCATGTGCTGCCATGTCACCCAATCTGTTTGTGAGTGCGTATTCTCTGCAGAACTCAGGATCAAACCTGTTTCCAGCAAGAAAGCCAATAGAAAGATGCTCTTCACCCTGATTTCTCTAACCAGGGTCAGGATTTCTTGGTATTTGGGGTAAGATTTTTTGAAAGATAAGATAGTGCTGTCCTGACTGACTGCTTCTGTTCAACAGCTGGCATGCATGGCATGAACAAACGTTTCAGACTACCAGAATATCCCAAACTGCCCATCACTGTTTTCTCCTATAATAAGCTGCAAACCTTGCTACAGCTCAGCAACTTAACAACAGTGTACTTACCAGCAGCACTTATGGAATAAGCTGAGTCCTATACTTTTAAAGAACAAATGCACTTCAACTTAATTACAGTCAGGCCTGAATAAAAATTAAAGGGTTTGCATGTCTGCTAGTCTATATGTGGGTAGAAAGGCAGTGAGGTTAAGATAATAGGCTCAAAATGTATTCTGAGAAAACATTTAAAACCACAGCAGGGTGTGATTGTATGCAAATAAGTATTTTTGCAATAGCAGATTAAACACCTTATGGAATTTGTATGGAAAACTGCATGCTTGTACACGATGCAAAGTGTGATTAAGCACCAGTGTGTGGAGGTTTTGCCTTCGGTAAAAAAATTAAGGCAGATTTAAATCAATCAATGTTTTTCTCAGTCTTGTCACAGAATATGTTGTAAGTTACGAATGGAGACTACTAGAGAGGAAATGTTAAAAATAACACTACTTTTTCCTTGGGCCTGCACCCTTACAAGAATATGTCCTGCTACGTGGCAACATACAGGAGCTGAGACAGTGAGAAAAGAAAACTGGCAAGTTGATCTAGGCTTTTACTACAACAGCTGTTA